GTTTGTGTTTTGGCAAGGAGAAGCCTTTTGTTCTGTTCCATACCGTGAGCAAGATATGGTATAGCACAACCTGAGGGCCCACAAACCTGTTACCTGACATAGCACATTCGGATCAGTATAATGTTTACAGGGTTGAGCAACAGGCATTGTATTTGAAAATAATGAAGCATATTATTGCTAATTTTGAACCTGTTCTCTAATCAGAACTTCAGTTGAAATATTGAATAAGTGGAGAATGTGCCATAGGGATGTGCATTAATTTTGCAGCACAAATTGGAGAGGAGAATTTTGCAATTGTTTTGGAACTTTACATCTTTGACAGTAAAATGTATTGATCTTCAGCACAAGAGAGATGCAATATTTGATCTTTTTGTGATAAATGTCGTTTTTTGAATACGCAGTCTGGGTTACTTTATTTTGGAATAATCCTCCAGAGTTTTAAATCTGTTGCATAACCATGGTGTGTGTGTGTGTGTGTGGTCTTTTAAACCCTTTGAAGTGCTTTAATAGGCTTGGAGGCGCTACTGTGCTCAGCTCAGATGCTAGCTTGAAGGACTTGTGAGCATGGGAGCAGTTTCATGGTGCTGCTTAGCCATTCCGAAGGAGAAGCCAAGTTTGCAGAGGGAATAGACCACTCCTGGAGTGGGGCTGGTTAGTCTGACCTCAGATACTGCCGCCTCCCACTACCTTCAAGAGATGGAAAAGAATTCTCCCTGTGGCTTCTGAGGATCGGGTAGGCTCACACTAGGGTGACCAGACAGCAAGTGTGGAAAAATTTGGAGTGGGGTGAGGGGGTAATAGGAGCCTATATAAGAAAAAGACCCAAAAATCAGGACTGTCCCTTTAAAATCAGGATATCTGGTCACCCTAGCTTACACCATACTTCCAGTAGTGAAAATCTATTATGGCAGCTCAAATTAAGGTTGTAGCTAGTCTCCCACATTAGATAGAAAACGAAAGAAGAACTAAAATGTGTATTTCTGGGGGGAGGAGGGATGGGGAAACAGAAGGAACACCCTAAGAACTGGGAAGCTGAAAAGCAGAACTGGGGCCTAGGGGAGGAAGAGAGGTATGGAGAAGCAACTTTTATGGGTTATGGTGTGAAATTTAAGTTTCTTTCACTGCCCGTACAGTTAATCACTATTATATTAAATGCATATCTGAAATGTAAAAATCTAATCCAACCTTAGCTTTGTCTGTACTACACAGTTTTGCTGCCGAAACAGTGGAGGTGTACACACAACAATGCTCCTCCCACTGATTTAACTCCTGCTACGCTGACATAATAAAACCATCTCGATGAGCGGCATAGAGCTTTTGGTGACAAAATTTAGTGACACTGTGTCAGTGTAGACACAGGGCAACATAAGGAATTGCACAGTGCCCCCAAGGAGGCGTTGCACAATGGCTATCATTGCAGTTTCTACTCAGCTGCTCTGCAGCCAGATATACATGTGCGCCCCCCTCTCTCCCTCCACGCCCCACTGCCTCAAAGCCTTGGGAATTTTTGAAATTCCACTTACTGTTTACTTGGTGTGGACAGCACGCATCACATCTTCCCAGCTGACCATGCTGACTTTCTGCAACAAATGGCTCCCTTGTGGAGTACACCCGAGCTATTGGGTCTGGGGAGAGAGGAGGCTGTGCCCTCGCAGCTCTAATATAGACATAGAAACTTTGACACCTAGGAGGAGCTTGCTTATTTCATGGATGAGGAGGGGCACGAAAGGGACATGCAGCATTGCTGTGCTAAGATAAAGGAGCTGAGGCAGGTGTACCAGAAGACTCCTCATGCAGCCCATAGAGATGTGCATTCCTTGCCCTCCCCAAATTCATCCCTCCCCCACATTTCTTTCATGTTCCCAGCCCATCACAGTACCTCTTGCACTCGACCCCATGGCCATTTTCCATAAAGACAGGTGGATTTACATGCAGCTGTGAGATCCTCACTTCAGTGAGTGTTGCTCACTGCCATGTCCGTTGTAAGAAATGTTAATCTGTGTATTGCTGTTTCATAAAAATTGAGACTTACAAAGCCAGTGATTCTTTATTTGTGACCTACACAGGGTGGTTACAATGTAAATTCAAACACAGTGCCAATCACAATGTTTGCAGATTATAATTAATGCTCAGGCAGGAATCATTGCATGGGTCATTCAAGGTGGCAAGTAAACAATGCCTGGCTCAGTTCATTACAGAAAGACACAGGGCCTCATTGTCAAAATGCTGCTTCAGAGCCTCCCTGATTTGAATTGCCCCCTATTGAGCCCCTCTAATAGCCCTGGTGTCTTGCTGTTCAAAATCAGCTGCCAGGCGATCCGCTGCAAAGTTTCACGCCTGGGGAAATTTTTCCGCCTTAGCTTCACAAATGTTATGAAGAGCACAGCAATCTGATATGACCATGGGAATATTTTCCTCAGTGAGGTCTAACCTGCCAAAAAAGAAGTGCCAGCGACCCTTTAATCTGCCAAATGCACATTCTACCGTCATTATGCCCCTGCTGAGCCTGTTGTTGAAGTGCTGCTTGCTGCTGTCAAGGTTTCCAGTGTATGACTTCACGAGCTACAGGAGTAAGGGGCAAGTTGAGTTTCCCAGAATCACTATGGGCCTTTCCACATCCCCTATTGGAACCTTCTGGTCTGGAAAGAAAGTTCCTGCATGCAGCTTTCTATATAGGCCAGCATCATGCACCTTTCCTAAGCAGCCCGCGTTGATGTTAGTGAAATGACAAAGGTGATTCACCAGTGCCTGCAATACCATAGAGAAGTAGCCCTTTTTGTTGATGTACTCTGTCACAAGATGGTCTGGAGCCAAAATTGGGATACATGTGCTATCTATTGCCCTGCCGTAGTTAGGGAACCCCATTGCCGTAAAGCCATCTTCTATTTCCTGCACATTGCCCAGAGTGAAAAGAAAAGGAGTACTTGTGGCACCTTAGAGACTAACCAATTACACTTGCATCACCATAACCCCTATGGTGGCTTTCCCAAGTCCAAACTGATTTGCGATTGGCTGGTAGCAGTCTGGAATTGTCAGCTTCCACACAGCGGTTGCCACTCGCTTTTCCACCATTAGGGCAGCTCTAATTTTGGTGTCATTGTGCTGCAGGGCAGGGGCAAGCTCTGCATGCAGTTCAAGGGAGGTGGCTTTGAGCATACAAAAGTTCTGCAGCCACTGTGTGTCATTCCATATCTGCATCACAATCTGATCCCACCACTCTGTGCTTGTTTCTCAGGCCCAATAGCGACAGTCCACCAAGTGCAGCTGCTCCGTGAATGCCAACATCAATCTTGAATTGTTTCTTTCCATAGCACACAGCAGGGCAGGCAGCATGGATTTCTATTCACATTTACAGCTACTGAAATACTGCAGGATCAGCCACATTGTATTCATAACACTTATCACAAGACTGGCCCCAGCACAGTGATGAGTGCAAAGCTTACAGGGACAGTTGAAAAACAGCATGAAATGCATTTGGAAGCCCTTGGAATTATGGGATGGAGAAAACTGCATCATGGGGGGCAGTGATCTTGCCTCATGATGCAGTGCAATCCACTCCCAGAACTAGCAGGAGAAAGTGATTTGCACTGCTCTCTGTCCATGCTAGAGTACCAACTGTGGACGCATTCCACCGACACAAGGTGTGTTGTGTGAACACGCACAAGTGACGTAATTATAATTAAGGCTTTGTGTTTGTCATGGATATCGCAGAACTCATGGATTCCGTGACTTCCTGCAACCACTGTAACTTCTGCAGCAGCCGGTGTGGCTGTTCCCTGGGCGGCCCTAGGGTCAGCCACACCGGCCACTGCTGGAGCAGCTCTGCAGCCGGCTGCTTGGATGGCCCCACAGCCATCTGCACTAGCTGCTACTCTGGCGGCCCTGGGCAGCTGGCCCTGGGGACGGCCTGAGCAGTGACCAATGTGGCTGGCCCTGAGGACCACCTGAGCAGCAGTCTCAGGGGCAGTGGGAGCAGCCACAGCTCAGCGGCTCCTGGCAACGATCCCGGGGTGGCCGGAGCAGCTGCTGGCCCCCCAGGACTCCCCTAGCCATGGCAGGAGCAGCAGCAGGTGGCAGTCAGAGTGGCAGCGCCCCCCCCCCCGGGGCTCCCCACTTTGGCAGCTGGTGCCGTAGGCTCCTCCTCCCTACAAGGCCCCCCCCCTTGAAGCACCCCTACTCAAGATTCAATCGGGTATTTATGGTATAAGTCATGGACAGGTCACAGGCCCGTGAATTTTTTTCTTGCTCATGACCTGTCTATGACTTTTAGTAAAAATACTGTGATTAAATCGTAGCCTTAATTATGATTGTTGATGTAATTTAAGTCAACTTAACTCTGTAGTGTAGATATGGTCCTAGACTCTTCCAATATTCATAAAAGTGCTCTAGATAATGTTAATATCAATTGGATGCTATGTATAAATCCAGGTAAGAGAAGCTGAAGTTGTAATTTCATGAAGTATGACACTCTTGCAATTCATAAACACAGCACCAGGAAAAGAGCTAGCTTTTGGATGAACACATTCTGTATGTTTAAGCAGTATGTATCTGGAAACCTTTGCCATAACTATATCTCAGTTGTAGTCCGGGAAGGATTTGGATTGATTTCCACCTTCCATTTTATGCAGAGATATGTGCAGTTTGGAAAGCTGACATATCCCTTACAGTAGAATGTCACTGACTCTTTTTGGACAAAGCATTAGGGATTTACTTTTGAAAATTATTTGTGTAACATGTATTTTCTTTAACTTACTTTCTGTAACTTAGTAAAAGTTCTTAAAAAACAAACAAACCCAAAAGCTGAATGGGGTTGTCTTGTTTTCAGAACTGTAGGGAATCAAGAAAAGATAACATAAATCAATACAGTAATAACCTTTGTAACATACTGTACAGCATTACCAATACATCAGAAATGTGCTTACAAATTCTGAAAAAATACTGTTTGAGAAAGTTGTGGTTATGGCATTCATACTTACTGGTTGCTGGACAATTTTTTTAAGGTTGGGAAGGTCCTCCCCCACCTCGTGGCTGTGAAGTTTTTGTGGGAAAGATTCCTCGTGATATGTATGAAGATGAATTAGTCCCTGTTTTTGAGAGAGCTGGGAAGATTTATGAATTCAGACTGATGATGGAATTTAGTGGCGAGAATCGAGGATATGCCTTTGTGATGTACACAACTAAAGAAGAAGCCCAGCTGGCCATCAGGATCCTTAATAATTATGAAATTCGTCCAGGAAAATTTATTGGTGTCTGTGTAAGCTTAGACAACTGCAGATTATTTATTGGAGCTATTCCAAAAGAGAAAAAGAAAGAAGAAATCTTGGATGAAATGAAGAAAGTTACAGAAGGAGTGGTTGATGTTATTGTTTATCCAAGTGCTACTGACAAAACTAAAAATCGTGGCTTTGCCTTTGTAGAATATGAGTCTCACAGAGCTGCTGCTATGGCTAGAAGAAAACTAATTCCAGGTAAGCCTTTAATTTTATTATTAAATGTGAAATTTTAAAAATCAAAGCATTTATAATAGATTTCCACTTTTGGATCTGTGCTTACACCACCTTTATCTTACTCAGTTGATTTCAGTGGGACTTGACACACACTTAGTTCTATCCTGACCAGGGATTTTTTTAAATTGAGGGATGAAGATACTGGAATTGGGAAAGGGAGAGAGAGCAAAAGTTTCAGTAGCAAGGGAGAGAGTTGGAAGGAAAAGGAGAGAAGAGATCGGGGAAGCATAGTTGGAGAAACAAGAAAGAAAGGTCAAGAAAATGTCTACCACCAAAGACAGGGCGTGAAATCCTGGTCCCATTGAAATGATTGACAAAACTTCTATTGACTTCACCCAAAGTCTTATATTGGTCACAGACAAGAAGCATTGACTTTAAAGAAGCTTATCTAAGCCTTGAAAGGTAACAGGAGAAATAATAAGGCCAACTCAACAAATGTAAGGAAAAAAATGGTATGGCACTCAAATTTGAACTTTTTTTAAACATAACATGCTTTATGATATCCAGTGAACTTGTTTTAATGCATATTGGGGAAATACATTAATAGGGCTTATTCTAACATGGACACACATTATTTTGTGTTTTGTTCCCACCCACACACAAAGTATGACTATTTTAAAAATACTGTACATTGCATCACCAACTGGCAAAATATTTGACTACTTGAAACCACATAGATTTCACAAAAGCAATCATCTTTAGTAAAACTGGCACTGGTTGTGGTTTAAGCAGAAGCAGACTGAGTACTTTTTAAACAGATAAACATTGCTGAAGAATTTTTTGCAAAGTTTTATTTTTCTTATTGACCTTTATACTTTCAAGCAATGTCTGTTTAGCAAAGTGAATGCAAATAAAACATTTCATAGTGGTTTGTTTCAAATTTAGTATTATAAATAACATAGGCTTATTTCAGTGTTTTGGTTCCTGGAATTGTTAATTAATATTATTTTTCACTTAGCTTGCTTTTTTCAGTATTAGGCATTTTACTTAAATCTAATACTTCTTTGTCCTAGGAACATTCCAGCTATGGGGACATACTATTCAAGTAGACTGGGCAGACCCAGAGAAAGAAGTTGATGAAGAAACAATGCAGAGGGTTAAAGTATTGTATGTAAGAAACTTAATGATCTCTACTACAGAGGATGCAATTAAGGCTGAATTTAACAAATTCAAGCCAGGAGCAGTTGAACGTGTAAAGAAACTGAGAGACTATGCTTTTGTTCATTTTTTCAACCGAGAGGATGCAGTTGCAGCTATGTCAATTATGAATGGAAAATGCATTGATGGAGCTAGTATTGAGGTAACACTGGCAAAACCTGTAAACAAAGAAAGCACTTGGAGACAGCATCTTAATGGTCAAATTAGTCCCAATTCTGAAAATCTTCTAGTTTTTGCTAACAAGGAAGATGGTCATCAAAAATCGTTAGGAAAACCAGGAAATCTTTCAGTTCGTCTTAATGGTCAGCACAGTCCAAGCCCCCCTGAAATTGAAAGGTGTACTTACCCATTTTTTCCAGGGACAAAGCTTACTCCAATTAGCATGTATTCTTTAAAATCCAATCATTTCAGTTCTGCAGTAATGCACTTGGATTATTACTGCAACAAAAATAACTGGGCACCACCAGAATACTATTTATATTCAACAACAAGTCAGGATGGAAAAGTACTCTTGGTATATAAAATAGTTATTCCTACTATTGCAAATGGATCCCAGAGTTATTTTATGCCAGACAAACTCTGCACAACCTTAGAAGATGCAAAGGAATTGGCAGCCCAGTTTACACTGCTACATTTGGGTAAGTTTAATAATTATTTTTAATTAGTTCCTAGGAATTGAAACCAGAGAAGGTTACTTTAAATTTGTTCTGTGTATACGTAGCCTACGTACTTGCTGCCTGTGGGCTAAGTACATCTTCTTTCCTGTATTCTCAGTTCACCAGTCTTGATCTGTAGGGTGGTGTCACTGTTGTTCGTGATAAACAAGAAGCACAGTGCTAAAGAAATCTTCAACTTCACACATCAAGAGCCATTTTTCTGCTTTAGTTCCTTCACATGAATGCAGGTTGTAACAATGCATCTCTTATTTTTTATCTTTTTCCTACTTCTGTTTTATGCTTTTTCCCATTTCATCTTCTCTTTTGAATTGAGTACAAAGTGGGTTCCAATAGGAGTTTCATCATCATATGGTATTAATTTTGCCCACAGGAGATGATTTAGACCATAGGCTACAGGAGAATTACCAGGAAGAAGAAATAGTTACATGTTAGGAAGAGCTATAGCTGCTTTCAGGAGGGATTGACTTACCTGTTTTTTTAGAACTGAGGACTGTGGCAATAGAAAGGTGGCTTTACATCCGCCTACCTCGTCCTGGGTCCTGTGCCACAGGCAACTTGGCTAGACCAAAAGGATAGAGCTCTATATGAAGCTGAGAATCACGGTGGATTTGATTTAAATCAAATTGATTTAAATCATGATTTCATTTTTAGAAGGTACACACTATACATTTTTAAAGTTATTTATTTTGAAAACTTTTCAGATGAGTTTTACAGCTATATCAGAAAATGAATGACTGGTTATTTAATTTACTAAAGGTAATTGAAGCAGTATTTATGAAGTCATTGGGAGGTGAACTATCTCCAATTCAACAGGTTAATCATTAATATTTGGAGGATTTTTTTGCCATGCTGTATTAGGAGGAGAATATCACCAGACAGACATTTAAATTGTTTTATTTAACTAAAACAATAATGTTATGTATTCTTGATTTTTTCTTCAACAGCAAACATATAATATTTTAACAAAACAAGCACATGAATTTTTGAATTTAGTTAAACATTGAAGTTTTTCAAAATCAGGTTTGTTTTTGTTTAAATTGTTTTTAACTAAAATATTTAAATGAAATATTTAAAAAAAAATTGACTATGTCAGTCAGGTCAACATGAGAAACTTAAAATATTGGCTTCTGCAGCTAACTCAGTCATCTTCACCTTCATTTTCCTGTTTGTTCATAATCTGGAAAAGAAAAACAAGCTTTCCTGCTTTTTCAGGTCCCAAACAATTTGGAATGAATTAGTCCAAAGGAAGAAAATATTCTTTCTACACCGGCAGAAGAAGCGACTGCTCTTAAAAGTGAGATTATCACTTCAATGGTCTCTGAATCCAAGTCCTTAAGTGACTTACATCAGTTCACTGGTGTGACTTTCTTTAAAACATCATCAGCAAACATATGTTTCTTGAATGGTTCACCCTTAGCTCTAAAGTTTATTATAGTTGGCATTACAGAGGGATGATTGCTGGATGTCCATGACATAGCCAACTCCTCTTCTTCAGCAGTTAAGGTTTGACCCTGGTACCGAGTATTGAGAATGTTTGCAAGAAAATGAGCTAGAGATAGTGCTTTTCCCATTTGTTTTTTTAATGCTTGTAATTTAACTGTCGTTGCATATTTCTCTTTTTAAGATCTCACTCAGTTCCTTCGAAATTTCAACAGTATCAGCAATAAAACAGCTATTTCCCTGCATTTTGTTCAAGGTTACAGAAATAGGCTTCAAGGTACTCAGCATGTGTTCAACATTTCTCTTAAGCCCAGTGTTGAGAACTTTGGCTGTGGCAGTGCCATCTATTTTTTCCACAGTTTTGTTCACAAACTGTCGTCAGATTAGGCCAGTTCTTGATATAGTGCTCAAAAAAGTCCACTACTGAGTTCTGTTGCACGTCTTGTGGGAGAGTTAGCTTGGTTCCTCCCACTTTTTTTCAGAGCAGCTACTGCAAAGTGGTTGTTACGGAAGTATTTTGTAATTTCAACAACATTAGCCTTTATTTCTGGAACACTGAAGTCTTAGGCTAGAAGGTGCATCAAATGAGCACTGCAGCCATATGTTAGCTTGGGACTCTTCACTGTCTTCTAAATTTCTTCTCATTTTGGATACATTTGTAGCATGGTCTGTGACCAAGCTACGTACTAGACATTTGAATTTTTTCATCAATTACCTCTTTTTGTAATCTGCTGGTTCTTATCACAGACTTATCTATGGTTGTTTCAGGATGATGGAGATTTTTTTTCCTTTTTGCTTCAGGTGATATACTGTGGCTATGTGACATACATGATGTGACTGAAACACTATTGTTGGCAGGTATCTGAAACTACATAAAATGATGGAGATCCTGAAGATGGATGGTCTTCAGAATCCTGTATCTTGAGGATGGATTCTCCTAAACAAAATATGTTAATGCAGTTATTTAATTATTATTACCATATTGCTCATTTAGTATTACTCATTGCATTCACTGACACTCAGTACTACTTTAAAGGTGAAATTGTAAAAGGAAGGTCTGCCTATTTCAGCTATTTATTTTTCATTACAATTGCATCTAAAATGATAGTACCATAGAGTAACAACTATATTTTTTGCTCAAACATGAGAATTCAAGAATAGTCCAGAAGGAAGACAGGAAGTCCTTAAGAAAGAAGTATGAAATAAAAAAGTTTACCAACCTGAAGATCCTGCATGTTCAGATATGTTCCTTTCATCATCTTCAACGCAGCTTCCTCCTGAGAAGGAACACTTCTCATGATGTTGTTCCATGTGGGCAAACAGGCCTTGCATTTCTTTGTTGCACTGTTTGCATGCATGTCTGTCTTACACACAGGTAGAGGAACTTAATTAAAATATTCCAAAGCTAGATCTCTTTCATGTCCTGCTGCCATTATAGGTTTTCTCTTCTAGTGAGAGAATAGTATGGTAGATCTCAAATCAATGAAGGCTACACTCAGAAAGACCTCAAGGCTTCTGGAATATGCTGCTCAGACAGTTCTACTTTTGTTTCTACTCCCTGTCCCTCCCATCTCACATTTATCTCCAGACTTCTTCTCCTTGTCCAGATCTATTCCGCCCCCAACAATCTTCTATTCATTGAACTTTTTGAAAGTTTGCACTTTTAGAGAGAGGTAAGGGATTGACTCTGTGTACACAAATGTGCAGAGGGACAATAGGGTTGAGGTCTGTTATTTCTCACCTCTATATAGTATTTATTTTAAAACATTTTTGCTGTTAACAAGCATGTTATCTCTGGATACACAAATCCACAGTCTGAGAACTGCAAAACTAAACATCTCTGATGGTGTCTTCTTGACTGAGCACTTAGTCCCATTGGGTAGATATAAAGATTAAACTAAATAATCTATAAAGAAGGCTCTGGAACCCCATAAAATTGGGTCCCTAATCCATGAACTATTGTAACTCATTTACTAAACTTTCCTTAAACATTACATGACTATATTGTCTCATACTATAGAATTAGAATTTATAATCCCTATTCCATGATGAGATATCTTTGAGCTATAATGTATCTTAATTAAAACTATCTTTAGTTTTAGTGTTAAAGGGCTAGTAATGTAGAATTATTCTCTGATGGCCATACAAATTCTCTGCTTTGTCATTCCTTCAGTGGATAGGGCCTAATTCAGATTTGAAATGACATTTCTCCTTCTCTCTCTGTACAACACTGTAGAACTTGTGGACATGAGAAATAGAAGAAAAATTAGATTAACCAAAAATATCTTTTTATTCCAGGAAACTACTGAGAATGTTTGTTTGGATTGTTGTCTTAATTCCTGAACATAGCTGGTTGTCACTTGGAGGCTAACAATTTTGCCTTTTATTGCTGGACAGACACCTTGTGTGTGAAGTTTAGTTGTCTCTTCTTCAGAGAAACAGCACAAAACAGTTTCAGGTTTCTTCTTTTCTTTGATTTTAGCCTTCTCCTCCAAAAAGTCTTCTGGAAGGAAATGTCCAATATGTACAACCTATTCATTCCCATCCGTTCTGTACTGATTTGTTTTATTTACATGTTGTTGGTCATCTCTGGGGAAATACTTTTGTCAGAGTATGTATCCTTGGCTCATAATGTACAAAATAGAAAGGCTGCAAGTTGGTTATTTATGCTCATTTTCTTTAAATGCTGTAGACTTGGTCAACTTTGCATCTGCTAACAGCCTTTGGGAGATGTATCCCGAAGGTCCAGTATCTCTTCTCACTGTCCTCAGAACTCTGCAAACCAGGGGCATTCCCACTCCAGATCCAGTTTGGGACTAATCAAAAATTAAAAAAAACACTAACTTGAAATACAGCCTGTGTGTCCACACTGCCCCACAGTTTGGACCATGGAAGTGTGCACCCAAGTGCTGTGCTGTATCTCCCCTATGTGGACACCGTGGGTGCCAACTAAAAGGTTCCTAGTAGGGCTGTAAATTAATCGCAATTAACTCACGTGATTAACTAAAAAAAATCAAACAATAGAATACCAATTGAAATTTATTAAATATTTTGGATGCTTTTCTACATTTTCATATATATTTTATTCTGTGTTGTAATTAAAATCAGTATATTTTATTTTTGATTACAAATATTTGCACTGTAAAAATGAAAAAAATTAGTATTTTTCAATTCACCTCATACAAGTACTGTGGTACAATCTCTGTCGTGAAAGTGCAGCTTACAGTGTAGATCGGGGTGGCCAACCTGTGGCTCCGGAGCCGCATGCGGCTCTTCAGAAGATAATATGCGGCTCCTGCTAGGAGCCAACTCTGGGGAAAAAATGGTGGGTGCTCAGCACCCACTGTCAGCCCTGTCAGCGCCTGCTCTCTCCCCCCATGCCATCTGCCCTCTGTGATCAGCTCTTTTGTGACGTTCCGGAGACTCTGGGGGGGGAGAGGGGAGGAGAGCGGATGTGTTGCACAACTTCATCCCTCTCTCCCCCAGCACCTCCTCCTCCCTCCCTGTGCTTCCTGCCCGCC